AGGGATAGGAAGTGAGGAACGCTGAGGGAGAGAGGGTTCTGGACCTGGCTACAGCCCACGATCTGGCAATCTGCAGCACGTTCTTCGCGAAAAGGGAGACTCAGAAGGTAACCTACAGCAGTGGAGGGAGACAAACGGAAATCGACCATGTGCTGGTAAGAAGATCATCCCTCAAAACTGTGAAGGATATCAAGGTACTCCTGGCGAAGACTGGCTCCCAGCACAGGCCCCTCCTGGCAGACATAGCCATGGACCTCCCCAAGAAGACAAGGGTAAGAACCGAGAGGAGAATCCGGTGGTGGAAGTTGCACCGTGCAGAGAAGAGTGACCTCAAGCGAAGGATAATGGAAGTTGGTCTCCCAGATCCTGAGGGACCAGTGCAGCAGACTTGGGGCATGCAGCTGAGATCATCCTACGATGCGCCAAGGAGGTACTGGGCGAGACGCGAGGTGGATTCAGAGGAGACAAGGCAGCGTGGTTCTGGAACGAGGAGGTCCAGCGAGTCGTGAAGCAGAAGAAGGAAGCATACAAGCGCTGGCAGAAGACCCGGAGCCCCGAGGACCTCGCTGCCTACAAGAGTTGCAAGAGGCTCGCTAAGGCTGCCGTCGCCAAGGCGAAGAACACGGAGATGGACGCCTTGTACGAGAAGTTGGAAAGCAGAAACGCAGAGAAGTTCGTCTTCAGACTGGCCAAAGCCCGGCATCGGGCTACTCAAGATATCAGGGTGGTGAAGAGCGTGAAGAGCAGCAACGGCGCCATCCTGAGGAAGCCAGCCGAAGTTCGGAGGAGGTGGGAAGAGTACTTCAGAGGTCTTCTGAACGAGGAGTTCCCCACAAGAACAACTCACGGGCAGAGGCCACAGCTGGTCCCATCGCACTCTGGACAGAGGATGAGGTTCGGTGTGCACTTGGGAAGATGAAGGTTGGAAAGGCGGTTGGTCCAGATGGAGTACCCATAGAGGCTTGGAAGGCGCTCGGAGAGCACGGGATAAGGTGGCTCACCCGCTTCCTGAATACGGTGACTGCGAAGGAAGGATTGCTACCTAGCCTTCCTCGACCTGGAGAAGGCGTTCGACCGGCTACCGCGAGCAGTGCTATGGAGGTCGCTTAGGGAACGAAACGTGCCAGAACACCTGATCTCTGGTGAAGGACATGTACGAAGGAGCCAAGCACCCCATACGGCCTAACGAAGGAGGTGGACATCACGGTTGGGGTGCACCAAGGGTCAGCTCTGAGCCCGTTCCTCTTCCTCCTAACACTAGATGTCCTGGTGAAGGGCTCATGGAGGGACCACTGAAGACATCCTCTACGCTGACGACATCGCCTTGATAGCGGATAGCAGAGAGGAACTTCAAGCCAAGGTGCAGAAATGGCAGAAGTCCTGGCAGAAGGTGGGCTACGGCTGAATGTCAAGAAGACCAAGTTCCTGAGCTCCGAAGAGGGTGCAGAGCCGATCGTGGACGGCCATGGTGAGACCATCGAAAGAGTGGAGGACTTCCGATACCTTGGGAGCGATCTGGCAGCCGACGGAA